TGAAAATTGAGAATAAGAAGAAACCTATTATTTTCCTAGGAAGAAATCTTTCAAATAGGTTAGGACTCAATAATCATATTTACCTTGAATTTTAAATTTTAAATTTGACATTTTAAAGGTTAGAACAACTATTAAATTTCAAAATTTACGTTAACAAATTTTAAAATTTTGTTATTTATCAGTATCAATTTTGGAATTACATTTTACTTGTTTAAATTTGATTGATTATTTACCATTGATTTCTTATAATTAGCCTTGTTGTTTTGTCCGTTGTTCAATCAAACAAATTCCTAAAATTAAGCACATATACTTAATTTGTTACAATGGTATAATTGTCTAAAATATTATTCACGATTAAAAAAAATCATACGTTCAATTTATTTATTTTGATCACTCCTACCATCCTTGCTAACATTGGTTACAATAACTTCTGAATTTAACTTTTGTTTTCAGTTTAAACAAAGAATTAGAGGATGGAATCTAAATTTCTAATTTTTAGAGACACTATAATACCTTAACTAGTGTCATGAATTGAAGCTTTTGAATATCATTTCTTTACAAAATTCAATCGTAAGCTAAAAAAGTTCATATTTCTCAATTCTAGGTCACATAAATCTATATTTTCCAAGGGAAGAACCAAACACTAAAATTGAAGATTTTTAAAATGCTATAGTAATTATATTTTAAACTTTTTTTAAAATGCTATCAGTTATAACTTTTTTACATTCAAATATTCTAGGCCTTCCTCAGTCACAATGGTATGCATCAATAAAATAAAATAAAATAAAAAAGCATTGATTTCTAATAGAATGCGCGCCAAACGAAATTGATCTTTTGTTCCTTAGAAACAAAAAGAAATATATATAGTTATTGGAATATAACGGCCCTAATTTATTTAACTTTTACTTAGCAGCTTCAATAGCCAGATGGGACAATCTGATCTGATGGATCATCTTCAATTCTTGAGGAAATTTTGGTACCATTTGGCTGACAACTTGGTAATTCTTGTCAAGTTGTTGTCGTAATCAATAAAGTTGAGGCCAAAACGATAATTATATCCAAATATCCATTCAAAGTTATCGAACAATGACCATGCAAAGTATCCTTTCATCCTTACACCAGCCCTGCAATAATAAGTTTCGCAAACATCATTGAGACAAACTTCAAACTGATCACCATATACTTACAATATAAACTACATCCTTAACCTTTTATAAATATTCAAAAAAATACCCTTTGAGCAACCTCCACTTAGATATTTTGAACGTAAATCTGGAACCATGTGGTAGTTAATGGAAGTTTGTTGGGAACAATTAGCTAGCTGACACATGAACAAATTTGACCTTTAACGATGGTAAAAATAAATGCATGAGTAGAAACAATGATGGATTCATGGATCCACCATTGACCACGTTAAAAGTCAAATTTGTTGTAGCGTCGTTAATATTGTTCCAGCCTCAAACAAACTTCCAAACGAAGGACAAAAATAATATTGAAATTTTTAAAAGGGAGTGGATATTTTGAAACAAAAAAGACCAAGTTCACGAGAATTTTTGTAATTTAGATTTTACTTGGTTGCTTTGAGGACAGAGCTGAGATGCTGTTGATGGTATCTAATTCTATCTGTGTCGTTGAGTAACGTAGCCTTAGTCCCACCAATATCAACAAATCCTACAACATACAATGAAATTAATAAAAAAGGTAATTAATTATGTGCATTTATCTAAAATAACGAATATATTTTTTACTATTAACTATACCCTAATTAAGGATTTCTTTCGTTACCATTTTCTGTGATATATATATTTGGATCTTTGTATTTGTTCTTCGTGTACACCAATAGTTCGTGGAGGCCTTGTGGATATTGAGCTTGCCAGGATTCCTTATTCGCCTATGTGTAACAATGTTAACCAAAATAAATCATTAGTTGAGACTTCAAACATTGCAATAAAAAATAAATAAATAATCATCATTGAATAAATTTGCACAAAGATGATTACCACCGGACCAATTAGGACTCCATCACGATCCACTGCAACCCAAAATAAAACATTACAAGAGATATCAGTATCAAGTATCATGTCATGTGTCAATATTCAACAGGTTCCGTTTCAAAACCAATTGACAATGTGCAAAATAGCTCATGTCTATTATAATGTGGGATCTTTAACATGTTCCCTTGGCTCTTTTAGCAGCTCATCAATCTTATCCAGATCTCATTTTTGAACTGGAGACTTGTTTGAGTGTTTTGTGAATACGTAAAGATGAATTTTGAATTTTGATCATCGTAGTTTAAGTACATTACTTGAAGTGTCTGCTCGACTATCAGTTGAGTAATGTGGCGTTGGACCAGGCGCATTGGGATTGTCTTTTGCAAATCTAGCGGTGTAGTAATTTACTCCAACAAAATCAAAAGACCCTTTGATCAAACTACTTTCTGCCTTTGTAAATTTTGGTAATCTCTCCTTTACAAGCGCTCTCATGGAAGCTGGATAATCTCCATAAGTAAGTGGGTGCAGGAACCTGTCATGTCATGTATTTTAATTTAGATTATCAAATATTAATGTTGTCAAAAATATATATCAAATATTAAACTTTTTAAATTTTTTTATAAGGTGGTATAATGCATTTGTAATCAATGAACTTTACTTACCAACCAATACCAAAATCAAGCATTCGTTCTGCGGCCTTTTTGTCTGCCACACTGTCTGAATATGGGACATACCAAAACGAATCCAATGTAATACCAATCACACCCTTTTGGCGTGCCTGCAAAATCTCACGTTGTTCAAATTTATATACGAGATAGTTACGTAAATAACATCAAATAAATATGTATTAAGACATATATAAAGATCGTGAGTTCGAATTTCAATTCCTATATGTTGTTGTAACAAGAAAAACATAAAATAAATATGTATTTTCAAATTGTACAATGAAATGAGATTAGTGTCTAACTTAAATGTAAGAAAATATAATTAAAAAAGTCAAAATTATGCTATAATTTTTAAAAATGGTGACATTTTTAATATGTGTGTTAAATTTTCCTATTAACTCTAACTTTAACAACTTTTTAACATGAGCATTTGATAAAAATGTGGTGTGATTTCATTTATTATTTCTTATTATCATAGTTTAAATGATCTTGACTTTACAAATCAAAATCAAACCTCTAAACTCACTCATGTAGAACCATTGATGATACATCTAAAGATTAAGTTTTACTTTAATTTAACGACATATTTATTTTTCTTAATTTTACTTCCTAGTCAAAGTTCGGATCAATTCTAATGTTGGGTTGAATAGTAAAGCAAAGGTAAATATGAATTGGTGGAATAGTTGTGAGACAAAACCTGATATTTAGTTTTGTAAACTTTCACAGCGGCTGCGTGAGCAAGAAGTTCATTATGACCAACAATGTACATTCTGGTGCCAGAATCATCACCCAAACAATCTAATCGTACATCGTGTTTCTTAGAACAGTCTCTAGGGATTATACCAAAAGCATCAACAATCAGGGTGAAGGAATGTGGCTCGTTTAAGGTAATCCAATGCTTTACTCTATCTCCAAATTCCTTGAAGCAAAGATCGACATAATCTTGAAAATCATTCCTGCAATTGATTGAGAGTAACATTATTAAAATTTGGTTGAGAGAAACGTTCCTAGAATTCTTAAACACAATTCTAAAAACCATTTTTTCTCTGTGAAATATGTCATAATTAGTTAATTTTAATATCTTGTCGTGATTATATTTTGTTTTCTATTATTGTGTGAAAAATAAAAAAAATGTCATAAAAAATAACAATAGCTTACACAATTTTGTTACTCTCGAAGCCTGTATATTCCTCTTGTAGAGCTTGGGGAACATCCCAATGAAAAAGTGTGACATAGGGTTGGATGCCTACAAAAATAATCTCATAGCAATGTGTGAATATTTGTCGAATAATTAACACAAAATGGTTGCAAAATAATAAATGAGAGATTAATAAATTATTGCATTAATTAATACTCACCGTTTGCAAGTAGTTCATTTATCAGGTTGTTGTAGTACTCAATTCCTTTCTTGTTCACTCCTCCACTAAGTTTTCCATCTACAATAATATTGGAGAATAATGTTTACTTTAATTTTTTTTCTTTTTTATGAAAAAAGACATCATTTCATTCAAAAATTATGTTACAAAGAAGAGACGTGATAGCATCCAATTAAGAGAAATAGTAGAGATATCATAATCATAAAAAATATGGATGTTTAGACGACTATGATAAAGCATCTATTTTCATATATTCTCCGTTTATTTAGAGACCTCCGAAAAGATATGATTGTTTCTCTCCAACCAAATATTAGCGAGAAGTAAATTATTAGACTAATCATGAACCTCTCTCTCCTAGAATTATCTAAACCTCTTTTTCTTTTGTATTTTTGTATGTTTTTCACCTACTATCTCTTTGATGAGATGGTTTCTCATTCGAAAATAGTAAATTTTTTAATGTTCTTTATGCATAATAGTTTTTAATTAGTAAAGGCTAAATATATACTGAAGTTTTATAATGTTTTGTGTGTTTTTTAAATTTGGCTCCTAATAATTTCATTTTTATGCATCTATTTTTTTTTCATCACGTCAATGTGTGGTCACAAAAATTAAAATAAAATAACAAAAACATAATAATGCAAAGTTAAAATATGTAGTTGAAAATACTTTATGTTTTTATTTATGAAATAAATCTACCGCTCATTCATTTAATTAAAAACACACCATTTAATATGACTTAGCATATAGTAACTTACTACTTGATTACTTGTATTGAAAATTGACTCATTAAAATGATGGTATAATAAGAATTGAAAATTGTGCTTTTAAATTCATATGAGAAAATAATTCTATTAACAGTGATTATAAATAGTTAATTAAAAAATTGAATTCAAAAAAATTTGACATCAAAATAAAATAAACCTCAAACGGATCAAATAAAACTTAATTTGTTATGGAAAGAAGTTATTCCTTAGAACACACTAGAAGAAAACAGCGAAAAACACCACTCTTAAAATTAATTATCCATTTCACTAAAACTAGCTCCAATTATTTTTCTATTAAAATTTTTAAAAATTCTTTTTTAGTACATGACGGGTGGGAGATTCGACCTACTCTTTGTCTCTAGTTTCTTTTTTTTTAATAAATAAATTTGCAAGTATTATTTTCATTCCTGTATTTCTTTATTTTATGTCTACTTTTTTGAAACGTTTCCAAAATTTAAGTTAAATTTGAAAAATTAAGAATCAAAGTTTTTTATGCAATATAAAATATGCTAAAAAAATTGTCAGCAAACAAGTATAATTCTAAAGAATAAAACAATAAAATACGAAATAATTACTAAACGAGCTTTAATTTCTTACTCGGCAAAACTCTCGACCAAGCAATTGAGAATCTGTAAGCATCTAAGCCCATTTTCTTCATAATTGCAACATCTTCCTACGTTAGAAACAACCATTACTAAAATTTGCATAATATTATAAGAGAAATTTCTTCACTAATAAATAATACAATCTTTTTTCACACACCTTGTAGCGATGGTATTGATCAATGGCAACATCTCCGTTATCATTGTTGAATTTCTCTACAAATTTTACAAATCACGATAAAATTAATTTATTTAAAAATTCTCCATTTATACACTTCATAATAATTAATAATCCACTATCTCAAATAATAATAATAATAATTCACGTGCATGATTTTTTTTTTCTACTTTTTTCCTTGTATTTGTATTTCTTTTTTCCGAATTTTTACATCTTTGTTGTTAACTTTTCTTTGATGTCATAACTTTTTTTTTCAGTTGAACAATGATAGTAGAAATTCGAACCTACTTAATTAATTGAGCTATGTTCAGATTGACATGTTTTTATAGTACATCAATATGTGGGGTGTGAATTCAATCTCACGATTTTTAAGTCGAAAATATATGTCTTAACTAGTTAACTTATGTTCAAATTGTCAAGTTTGCATATTTTAGACCTTAAATAATTGGTTGACGTTTCTTCATATTTTAATCTTCTTTCTTTTTAACAAATAAACCTATTATATACTGAAAAACATCATCACAGTGATAATTAAACAAAATAGAGAGAATTATGAGGAAAAAAATCATAAAGAGCAAGACCTGGGAAATGGTGAGTGGCATTGTCAAAGATACTTAGACCTTTACCATCCCTGAATGCATCACCTTCGTACTAAATAAAAGAAAACACACCAATGTTACAAAACTTTCTTTACGATGTTAATTGAAAAAAATAAAATCGTTTTGAAAAATAGGTACCATTTTATTAAAGGTACGTGAGAAACATGAAAATGAAGAAGAGGCGTATAACGTGGGTTTATGTACTTTAATATTTTTTAAAGATTTTGAGGTTTGCAGGCTCAGAAAATAAAATAAATAATCTAAAACTTTATACTTTCAATAATGAAAACGGGTTTTTGTTCTAAATAACTCGTCTCATAGGCCCACTTTGATATGTCTCCACCCAAAACTTATGTTTTCTGATCAGTGACATCATTTTCAGGTAAATTATGTATTTGCTCCCATTATTTTTTTGTTGAATTTCTCTACTTTCTCTTCCCTCTTCCTCTCCTCTCTCCTACCCATTCGTTTCTTTCTCTTGTCCCATTTTTTGCCCTTGTTATTTTCTGCTGTCCCGTTTTCTCCATCTCCTCTCCATGTGATTCATGCGGATGGTGGAAGACTGGAGTTCTGAAGGTCGATAGCGGCGGAACAACCGATGACGACTTATGTTTATCAACCGAAAATAGCAACAGTAACCAAAGGCTTATGTTTTAAAAAAATTAAAATCAAGAAACAATAAACGAAGAACGGTCTCTTTTACCTGATACGCAGAAGATGCTGAGGCAAAAACAAAGCCTTTGGGAAAACTGCTCCGGTGGAGAATGTCAACGACATGTGAAGGGGCCACGTCGGGGTCTGCAACTGCAAGTAGAGGAACAACAAGAAGAAGAACAAAGCAAAGGAAGCCATGTTTGAATGCCATTTTGAATGGCGACGGATGAATAGAACTGTTTGTAATGCTTCAGTTACGTTATACCCCTTTTTATACTGTCAAGATAGACAAAAATCTCACAAACTCAACATCTTTTCAATTATTTTTTTTCTTTTTCAATATACTGTTTTTGAATCGTGGAGTGGAGGCTGGAGATTACATTTTGTCGACTTCTTTTGGATTCTTTTTCGTTTCTATGGATACTATATTATATTGAGGTAATTCCATAAATATGAAGCCTGCAATAAATAAGTTACAAAAGTTTATGGCTGCCTTTTTCTTTCTTTTTATATAATAGTTAAATTAATAACTTTCCTTAACTTTAAAAATTATCTAATTAAATTTTTAATCTATGGACTAAATTGGTAAATTAACAATTTATATTATAAAATTTTATATAACCTAGTTATTGTCTTTGTTTTGTTTTTTTTCACATTATTTTGCTAAAAGACATTACAGACAGAGAGAGAAAATTTTGAGACATTGCGTTGGAAACTATTGTACGTAATGTCGTTGAACTAAAAGACTGCGAAGTCCTTACCTAATCCTCCATAATTATTATTTATTAAAAATGCACTTTGGCATTTTCAATTATAGAGAGGGATGACAACACAATTAGACATTTTCAGGTGCCTAATTACATAAATATATGTCTAAAAACTCTAATATCTACAGATTTGTCAAAATATAAACCTGTTTATGATGGGGCCAAAATTACCAAGCTACACATATTCATATTATTTGTAATAAATAAATAAAACCCTAAAGTGGGTTGCATTTTGAGCTACATCGTGAAAAATTTGTATAGTTGGCAAAGATGGTGCAATAAAATAATTTCTTCCAAAAGGTAGGTTCAATTTTGAGCTACATCGTGGAAAACTTGTATAGTTGGTGATATTCGTATTTTTAGTCTTATATTCCATATAATTTTGAAGGAATTTGGTGATGTAGTTGATAATTGTTGATAAAGCTCAAAATATTTGATGAAGGTACCAAAAAAAGTTATGTTTACCCAGTTAATTATTTAATTAGTTTTTTGTTACTACTGAACTTTTTAATATTTTTTTCTTTTTAGTTAACAACTTGTAGGGTGTCCTTAGTAATTTATTTTCTGTTGTTTGTACTCACAGAATCGACATATTGATGGATATATATATATATATATATATATATCTTAATTAACTAATCTACATTTTGTATGACTATTTTTCAATAATAATGTACGACTTCATGAAGTTATGGATAAGGAAGCCAAGGCCATGTTTGAAAGCCTTTTCATATTGTCACCTTAAAATTCTTTTTTTCTTTTTTAATAATACCTTTTAAAAATAAATAATAAAGTAAAAAATAAAAAATAAAAAACTGTGGGGTGGAGATTAACTTTTGTTGACGTGTCTTCCATGTTGTCATCTTTAGAGATATATACTAACATTTATTATAGATATATACTAGCATTTATTAGGGAAGGCAGGAGCCATTATCCTCATCCGTGCCCCGATTGAGTTCTTTTTCTTTTTCTAATAATACTTTTTTAAAAATTTATTTTAAATTTCATATAATCAATCTACTTATTGTCTTTGGTTTGTTCTGTGCCCATTGTATTTCACGTTATTTTGCTAAAAGGCAACAGAGATAGAAAAAGAAAACTTTGAGACGTTGCATTGAAAAGTATTTGTATATAATATCGTCATACTAAAAGAAACACTATTCTATGTACATAGGTACACCTAACTATTTAGTCCGAGTCATTTTGTATTTTATTTCATAATTATTATTTATTATAAAAACTACAAACATATAAAATAAGACCAAAAAAAAAAACGTGTTTTTGGTCTTTTCAACTTTTTTTTTTTTAAAAGGCGTCCCCAAGAGATAGTTTGGGACGTGGCTTGGGGCTTCAAGGAATATCCTTGAAGTCGTAACTCCACCAAGCAATGACCCCAGCGTAACCATCATGGAATGACCTAGTGGTCAATAGAGGAAATGAATTCAAACCATGGTGACCACCTATCTAGGATTTAATATCTTACGAGCTATCTTGTCTAGCGGTTGGCCCGTGATTTAAAACAATTTGCCAATACCAAAGTGAATCTGCCCATTCAAGTGTCGAACTGAAGATTGGAGACTTGAAAGAAAAATCCCCACCCTTGAAACGTTCTCAATCTCGGAACTCAATAGATGAAACATATAGCTAGAATTAATCTCAATCTTGAAATGGAATAGCCCCGCCTCCATGGCCAGTTGAATGCCTGCTTGAACGGCCAAACTCTTGACCATATCGACGTCCACCACATTCGAGACAGCCTGTATCAGACAGAGAGACTCGCCAACATGAGTCCCGAACAATAACACCCAGACTCGCCGCGAACACATCATTTCTAAAAGCAGCATCAACATTTAACTTAAACCCAAGAGCTACTGGAACGAAGGCTAGACTATAATAGATCACGTCCCCAAAGAAGACTCCACAAATAAAGGAAGCATTAGAATCCAGCTTCGCATCAAGAAAACCACAACCTACAAAATACTTAGACTTAAGCACACGAGAAATAAGGGTATCTGGAGCCTTGAAAATCTGACAGCATTGTTTCGCCAACAAGGCACCATTAAAATGCTCCAAGTCTCGAAAAGCCAAATCCCCCAAAACATCTGGGCAAACACACTTGTTTCCAACTAACCGAATGAATCAGACGCTTCTAGTCCCTCACCGCACCAAAACCAAGCCATAAGTATATGAATATCATGAAAAACACTCTTCGGGAGGCGAAAGCAGTTCATCGCGTAACAGGGAATGACTTGAATGATGGATTTAAGGAGAACCTCCTTGCCACCTACAGACAAAAGTTTACCTTTCCAACCCTGCAGATTCTTCCGAATTCAATCATTAACAAAACGAAAATGACCCCGTCTGTTTCGAGGAATAAAGGTTGGCAACCCCAAATATAAGGCATGATAATCTTCCCTCTTTACCCGCAGCAAAGAACTAATTCTAAGCTGTAAACAGCTAGGTGTAGGTTGACTAAACGAAATCACCGACTTATCGAAATTAATGGTTTGACCCGACACCTGCTCATACAAATCGAAAAGCTGCAGTACCACCTGGCCTTCACTAAAGGAAGCTTTAAAGAACAATAAACTATTATGAGGAAAAAACAGGTGAGAAATAGACGGGCAAAAGCGATATAATTTAAACCTCGAAATTTGTTTCCACACCTCCGCCCCAGATAAAAGACTCAACAACCTTTGTGCACACAACAGAAACAAATATGGAGACAAAGGGTCGCGAAGACTCCGGCTAGGCTGAAGACAACTAACACGACCCCCATTTAACTTAAAAGAGAAAGAGACCCAAGATACACAACACATTATCAGAGAAACCCATTCGTCAAAGAAAAACTCACTCGACCCCGTCATACGCTTTACTCATATCAAGTTTCAGGGCCGCCCACCCCGATCGATGAGAAGCTTTCTTACAAAGCGAACGAATACACTCGAAATCCAAAATAGCATTATCCACCACACATCGGTCGGGAACAAAAGCACTTAAGTTTGGCCAAATAACATCATGCAACAAAAATTTCATTCTATTCACCAAAACCTTAGAAATCAATTTATAACTGACATTACACAGACGAATGGGCGATAGTCAGAAATCCAGCAAGGCTGCTTAGTCATCGAAATCAAAGTAATAAGGGTCGGAGTTAAAGCCCTTGGGGAAGCATTATCATTGAGTACATGAAGATAACTACGGACGAAATCCGCCCCTATTACCTCACAAAAATTCATGCAGAAGGACCCCGTAAGACCGTCCAACCCCAGGGCCTTAGATGGTTGGATTTGTTTGAGAGCCTGCACAACTTCATCTGCTCGAATTTCGTCAGGGTCCTGCTCCCAACAACCAGAGGAATCTTCCAAGCCAACAATAGAATTCACTCGCTGGTGAAGCGAGGCGCGATTGTGAAACCACTTCATATTTTTATCACCCCATTTTAGCGAGCATTCACGAGACCTTTGTTTCCAGTAAACTTCCTCCTCCAATAACAACGACTCCAAAGCAGATTCAGCATCTAAGATCACGGCTCGCGAACCACCCAAAGAGGTATTCTGGATGGTTGCCTGAACTCGTGCCGAAGCCTCCCAGATATGTCGGGCATAGTTGCCAACCTTCGAGTGGCCCCATTGAGAAAGAGCCTTCATACACACCCTGGTATTTCGAGCCAGACCCTCTGGTAGACCAACTGCTGAGATGGAGTTCCAATTGTGGGCCACCACCGATTTACACTCCTCATGAGATAACCAAGCTTCTTCAAAACGAAGGATAGAGGACCCCCCGAGCGGACCCCCAACTGGATGTGCCCCAAAATGACACGCTAGTGGTCGGTGATTGGAAAAAATATAATCAGGAGCTGAACCGAAAATGTGGAAAAATGAGGTGCTATGCTGAAGTACAAAAACAACGGTCCAACCGTTCAAAAATGAGCTCCCGGTCGTCACACCGATTAACCCATGTAAACCGATCACCACAAAAACCCAAATCCTGCAAACCACAATCATCGACAACCAATGTCATCAGCAAACAACAAGTGTGAGAGATTGAAATCCTGCTGTCCGATTTGAAATCCTTCGATAAGACTCTTTTTAGTAGCTTCTGTTAGAAGACGGCTCAGATAATCCATAGCCAAAACAAAGAGGAAGTGTGAAAGAGGATCACCTTGGCGTATGCCACGGGAAGTAAGGATTTTACCGCGCGGCTTCCCATTCAACAATACTGAATAAGAAACAGACGATATGCACCCACGAATCCAAGAAATCCAGCGATCGCCAAATCTTTTCTGATTTAATACTGTTAATATGAACTGTCAATTGATCTTGTCAAAGGCTTTCTCGATGTCCAGCTTGATTATAACACCTTTTTTGCGAGAGCAGCGCCATAAATCCACCATTTCATTTGCCATTAGAATGGCGTTAGTAATTTGGCGACCTTGAACAAAAGCATTCTGCTGTCTAGCTATGGTGGATGGGAGGACTGTCTTGAGATGGTCGGTGAGAACTTTTGCAAGTATCTTGTATATTCTTGTAGTTAAACTGATAGGTCGAAACTCTATCATGTTTTTGGGACTAGGGACTTTTGGAATTAATGCGATGAAGGT